AGAAGTTAAGAGCACTGGCTGCTTTTCCAGAGGACCTGGGTTCAATTCCCAGCACATACAATTTACAATCATCTGTTAACTCAAATCCTAGGGGATCTGATGTCTTCTGGCCTCTGCAGATACCAGGCATGCATATGATGCATGTATATACATGTAGACAAACACTCATACACATAAATAAGTTTTTGTTTTGTTGTTTTTTGTTTTTCAATACAGGGTTTCTCTGTGTAGCCCTGGCTGTCCTGGAACTCACTCTGCAGACCACTCTGGCCTCGAACTCAGAGATCCGCCTGCCTCTGCCTCCAGAGCACTGGGATTAAAGGTGTGCACCACCACACCCAGTAATAAATATGTTTTTTAAAAGTAAAGAAGTGTTTAGGCACATCAAAAGACTCAGGAGTCTACTTGACTTACCTCTGATACTCCAATCTGGGTTGACTGGAGCAGAATTAGAACCTATAGCATAAAATAAGTATCTAATAGAGCGAGTCTCTATGCAGAGCTAAAGACTCTACATTTGCTGAGTCAACCAACTGCAACTCATGAAGACTGTGTATGGGGCTGGCGGGACGGCTGAGGAAAGGCACTTTCCTGATGACCTAAGTTTAATCCATGGGATTCACGTGATGGAAGGAAAGAATGGACCCTTCTTCAAGTTGTCCTCTGACACCCATATGCACCCCTCCCCATAAATAAAATAGAGTTTTTAAAAATACGTAAAGACCGTGTGTGTGTGTGTGTGTGTGTGTGTGTGTGTGTGTACGCGCGCGCGCGCTCATGTGCACAATGTAATTTTCAGATCCTATTCTTGTCACTAACTAATACAGTATAACAATTACTTTGTCTTTCCAGCACAGGGTCTCATGATGTAGCCAAGGCTGGTCTTTAACATGCATGCTCTCCCACTTGGTCCCCCCAGTGCTCCGTCTACCACCACACATGGTTCAGTAACACTTGTAAAACATTTACTTAGTATCAGCTAGTTAATCTAGACACGATTTAAAGTATACAGGAGGTGTGCACAGATTCTAGGCAAATACCATACCACCTGGTATACAGTGTTTGAGCATCCATAAGATGTTTGATCGTCCATAGAATACCATCCTTTGTGAGGTTTTTCTACAACTAACTCCTCATGAATTATGAGGGAAGGCTTTGCTGATAGTAATACAGTTTTCTCACGGTACAGTTTCAATGAATGACTACAAAAGCTCTGAAATAAGTGAAAGTGGGTCATTAAGTAGCACCACAGTTACACTTACTGTAGGAACGGTTCATCAATGAATGTATAAGACAGAAGACCTTTGTGCAGGCTTGGCCTCTACTCCATCTATGCAGTAATTGAGGGACCAGTGTAATTTTATCACTGAGTTACCCAGAAGACACACCCTTGCCAACTGACCAGTTAGCACCACAGTAACTTTTTGCTGATCACATCAGTACCATGTACCTTCTGACTCAATGCGTCAAGAAGGTCCAACATTGCCTGGGTGGTATTTCCACGGAAACCATATGGCCTTCAACCTAAGCTCGAGAGAACGCCACACAAATCCATACAGGGAAACATCTATAAAATATCGAGTAGCAGCGACACGTGACCTTACCTTCCGGTCATCGGGTACCAGGTCCTGGAGCACCTTCCTCTTTGGCCACTCCTTGGTCAGCTCAGCAGAGGCCAGCTCCTGCAGATGGTACACAGCTATCTTGGCCGAACGCCGCTGAACTCGGCCTCCGCCCTTTGATTCCAGACTCATCTCCTTCAAACAGTCTGTCTGTCCTGATTCTGGGAAGAAGACCTGCAAGAGTGAGCCGTGAAAACAAAGTGGCTTCAGTCACAGCCAGTGATTACACACAATGTGCTGTGGATATCGTTCTGTATAAATAAAACACTGATTGGCCATTGGCCAGGCAGGAAGTATAGGCAGGACAAGGAGGAGAATAAAGCTGGGAAGTGGAAGGCTGAGTCAGAGATCCTGCCAGCCGCCACCATGACAAACAGCATGTGAAGATGCCGGTAAGCCACGAGCCACGTGGCAAGGTATAGATTTATAGAAATGGATTAATTTAAGCTATAAGAACAGTTAGCAAGAAGCCTACCATGGCCATACAGTTTGTAAGCAATATAAGTCCCTGTGTTTACTTGGTTGGGTCTGATAGGCTGTGGGACTGGCGGGTGACAGAGATTTGTCCTGACCGTGGGCCAGGCAGGAAAACCCTAGCTACAGATAAAGTCTATGACACTAGCACAGGGGGTAAAGACAGGCAGAGCCTTGGAGTTCACCGGCCAGCCAGTCTAGCTAACAGGGCAAGTCCCAGAGTCATCGCGAGACTCCATCTTTAAAAATAAGGTGGAGTGAAACCGAGAAATACACTCAATGCAGACCTCTGACTTCAACATGCATGTTCACACATGTGCATGCACACCTACACATCTATGTGTACACACACACAAACACATCCACACACATATTCCCCCACCACACACAAAGGGTAAGGCAGAAGGAGGAGATAGCTCAGTCTGCTAAGGTTGATCCCCAAAGCCCACACTGCAAAGACAGGTGTGGTGGCGCACACTTATAATCACACCACTGGAGGAGCCGGGACAGGAGGACCTCTGGGGCTTTCTGGCTGGCTGGCAAGCCTAGCAGACTGGCAGACCATAGGCCGATGTCTCAATAAAACAGGGGGACAGCTACTGAGGAATGACACCTGCAGTTGTCCTCTGGCCTTCACATCTGCACACCCACATGCACCTGCACACAAATATGTACATGCACACACACGCACGAGCACACAGACAAGTATGAAAATGTAATATAAAAACGGAGTCAAGACAAAAAGAAAAAATGAAGAACAGAGACATTCCTACAAAAAAAATCTAAATAGGAGGGAATGTTTTAGTTTTAAAAATATAGTAATGGGGTTTGGAGAGACAGCTCAGCAGTTAAAAGCATTTGTTTCTTGCAGAGGACCTGGATTTGGTTCCCAGCTCCTACATGGTGGCTCACAACCATCCATAACTGCAATTCCAGGGGATATGACACCCTCTTCTGACTTCCATAGGCACTAGGCACTCATGTGGTGCATATACACACATGCAGGGAAAATATTCATGCATATAAAAGAAATCTAGAAAAAGATTAATATAATAACTAGAGTTTGGGGAGATGGTCGACGAACAAATTTCTTGCCATGCAAGCATGAGGATTGGAGTTTGTACCCCTAGCACCCACAGAAAAGCTGGGTAGGCACAGCAGCCACTGGTAACCCCAGCACTTAGGAGGCAGAGACAAGGGCAAGCTGGTTAGCTACACTATCCAGAACTGCTGAGCTCTGGGTTCATTTAGCAAGAGAACCCACCTCAATAAATAAGTACGTGATCAAGGAAGACAGTCAAGGTCAACTTCAGACCTTCACACAAGCACACATACATGCATGTGCACCTGCAAATACATGTGTGCCTACACACAGGCAAACACATATATGTTGTGGTGGTTTGGATGAGAATGGTCCCCACGAGCTCTGATGTTTGAATACTTGGTCTCCAGTTGATGGAACTGTTTGGGAAGGATTAGGAGGTGTGGCCTTGTTGGAGGAGGGGTGTCACTGGGGTGGGCTTTGAAATTTCAAAAGATTCTTGCCATTCCCAGTGCGCTCGCTCTCTCTGTCTGCTACTTGTAGATCAAGATGTGAGTTCTCAGCTGCCCTGCCATGATGAACTCTGACCCTCTGGAACCATGAGCCCGATTAAACACTTGCTTGTAAGTTGCCTTGGTAACTAAGACATATGTGCATCATACTCTCTTACTCTCCCGCCCCTCCACGGAAGAGACAACAAAAGAGAAAACAGGACACAAATGAGGAAGCAGGATCCACAGAAGACACAAGGGGGAGTGCCAGGCACAGCACATATCTTCAATGTCTTGAGAAGAATCAATACTCACAGGCCCGTGCTCTGACCTCATGTGATACGCAAGCCCAGCCTTTGACCTGTATGGTTTTCCACAGTGGTGACATTTCAGGGTCAACTTCTCCAGCTCGGCTGCCTCTTTGCCACATTTTCTAACATGGTACAGATATCCCATGATGCTGGTGAAAGTACTGGAGCAACTCTGAGCACAGGGATGAAGCCTATGTTAGATTCACACATGTTTCCCATGATCCCTCAGTTTCTCAGAAATCATCACACACCACAAACTACAAGATGTTCACCTGCAATTCCCATTGGCACAACCCTCCTTCTCCTAGGCAACCCTGTCTATGTGCCATATTGTCAATCAGTTCAGCGATCACTGAGAAAGTATAACCACACACCTACTCTGTGTCAGAGCTTCCTTCTTGGATTGTGACCCAGTCCCACCCCAGTATCAACTAGCCAGCAACAACCAGTATCATCATAGTATGAGCTCTTGGGAATCACCTTCATCACGCTAAAGCAGCAGCCCCTTTGTGGAACTGGAGAGATGGCTAAATGGTTAAGGCTACTGACTGCTCTTCCAGAGGTCCCAAGTTCAATTCCCAGCACCCACATGCAGCTGACAGTTGTCTGTAACTCCAAGATCTGACACCCTCACATAGACATACCTGCAGGCAAAACACCAATGCACATAAAAAATAAAAGTACATGAAGAAGAAGATGAAGAAGAAGCAGTAGAAAAGGCAGCAGCAGCCCTTTCAAGCAAGGAGGATGAGGGGGGGGGGGATATACTCGTGGAGAGGAGAAAAAATAAACAACTATCAATGACTACAAGAGATCTGAAAAGCGGGTGCCATCCGACGCCATCAGATGGCAGAGGAGGAATTCTGCAAGGGAAGAGGAGGACGGATGGGAAAGAACAACAGACACAGACCCGAGACTCCAGGGAGAAGGATCTGCTGCCCCGGGCTCTTACCTCACGCATGCACCTGAGCTTTCCCATTCTCTTTAGAACTGTTCGCAGCCGCTCCCTCTCGCTTGGCTCATCTACTTCATCTCCTGCCTTCAAAATTGGCTGAAAAAAAAAAAATTAAACATGATTTACGGAACAAAAACCTAACAGCACCCCCACTTCCAGATGGCGGGAAGTAAGTACAATGGACACACAAGTTCTCATCTCTACCTCCCAGTAGAGGATTAACCTAAACAAATACCTATGGTCCAGCGCAAAGATTTCATCCTATGCAATTCCAGCAATGAAGAGTCTTATCTCCTCTATTATGAGGTACAAGAGCCAGATCCAGCTTCATTGAGCTGTCTATACTCACTAAGTAAGAGACACACAAAACATCACAACAGAAGGCCAGCCAAGATGGAGGAAGCTAGTGATTTACTGAACTCCTTGCCCCTGCATCTCCATAGCAAGGATCAGCAGCATCAAGTGGGGAAATATTTCAGGATGGACTGCTGATCCTGGCTCCCAAGCAACCTGAGGGAGCACCAGGTGTGCATATACTGAGTACATGCAGCAGCCTGCATAAACTCCGCTGCAGCAGCAACAAATGGTCTGAATGCAGCCACGGGAGCTGGGCTGTAAATCCTCCTCACCATCTGGCTGAAAACCTATAAGATGCTTCTCTGCAGCAGCAAAGACCCCAGTGGTGGAGTGCTCCACCCTGAGAATTGGACCCAGGAGGACTTCCCAGTTGCCATAGCTGCAGCCTGGCCTTAGGTCTCCTATATGCCCAACCTTCCAGCAGATACTGTATCCTCCCCGGGTTCCACAGAGCTCTTCTCAGCCTTCCAGAGATTCCTGGTCTCCTGCTTGACATCAGAGTACCAAGAGGGAGGTGGCATTGCAGACATGGAAAAACCACGCTTAGGATAATTCTTTTGTTTTCTGTTTTAAAGATTTATTTTAATTATTTATTTGTTCACTCATTTGTTTGTTTGTTTTTTGAGACAGGGTTTCTCTGTGTAACCCTGTCTGTCCTGGAACTCTCTGTGGACCAAATTGACCTCAAATTCACACAGATCCACCTGTCTCTGCCCCCAAGTGCTGGGATTAAAGGTGTGCACCACAACACCGGGTGATTTATTTTATTTTTGATGATGTGCATATATTTGTGTGGGGGTATAAACGTGAGTGCCAGTACCTGTGGATGTCAGAGGTGTCGGATCCCCCAAGAACTGGAGTACAGACAGTTGTGAACTGGAGTACAGGCAGTTGTGAGCTGCCCGATGTGGGTGCTGGGAACAGAACTCAGGTCTTCTGCAAGAACACTACATACTCTTAACCAGTGAGCCATCTCTCCAGCCTCCTCAGCCCAGGATGTTTCTGACTCTTTAGGGGCTCTTGCAGATCCCAGGGAGGTCTTCCTGTTGAGCAATTTCTGTGTCTTATACGCTGTCCCTCTAAATTGCTAGAGATAGGCCTTTGCCACTTTCACTGAGCTGACCCCAAACTGTTGTTAATGTCCCCACAACTCATCATGTCGTCTGTGGATTTCTAGTCTAGAAGTGGAGTTGCTGCTTGTGAGTGCATTTCCTTCAATGGATAACTGCCCACAAGCTCTCTGGGGGTCCCAGGCTGGTGTCCCCCATTCCTATCATTCTGAATAAAAAAATTTTGTCATGGTTGAGACAAGGTTTCACTATGTGGCCCAGCCGGATGGCCAGATGTAGCAGCAATCCTCCCACCTAAGCTTCCTAAGAGCTGGAAGTGCGCAGGCCTGTGCACTGTGAAACTTTGGAAGGTTTTCTTTCCTTCTTGCCATAGTTTTAATATTCATTTCCCTGATGACCAGTGGACTGGACATTCTCACATGTTACCTGAATATCTGAAATGCTCACATGCAGCTAGGTGTGACGGTAATAGCAGCGTTTGAGAGGTAGAAATAGTAGGGTTAGGAGTTCAAGGTCGCCGGGCGGTGGTGGCGCACGCCTTTAATCCCAGCACTCGGGAGGCAGAGCCAGGCGGATCTCTGTGAGTTCGAGGCCAGCCTGGGCTACCAAGTGAGTTCCAGGAAAAGGCGCAAAGCTACACAGAGAAACCCTGTCTCGAAAAACCAAAAAAAAAAAAAAAAAAAAAAAGAAGTTCAAGGTCAGCCTCAGCGACACGGGAAGTTTGCGTCCTGTAGTGAGTGGCTGTTTGTGCCCTGAAGCACGGCCCTGAGGGAGGCAGCAGGTAGCTGCTAGGTACCTGACCCTTGGCCAAGGCTGCCAGGGGCCCTTAAGACCGGGATGCATGTACGTACGTGTGCTCTCTTCTCTTCGCTACCTCGTGGTCTTGGATGCTGGTGCGGATCAAGGCAGAACTCTCCTAAGAACCCCATTGGACTGTGCCCCACCCCTCCAGGATTCCACGACCAACTCCTTAACTCTGGTTGTGAGTTAACCCCCAAATAAATTCCTTTGACCATCAAATAGACTCTGTGGATTTATCCCATTATCTGGTGCTCATGTGGGGCCAACTCCAAATGCCCGGGTGGCCTCTGCCCTCAGCCTCCGTGGCTGCTGTGGCACACTTTCCACGCTTCCTTGTCTGTTTTAAACTTCTTGTTCCTCCTGGGGACTCAGTGCTTACCCATTTGGCCCAGTCGTGGGCATCAGTTCCCTATTTTGAGCTACAAGTTGTACCTTACGCGCTCCTCCCCGCAAGCCGGGTCCTGTAGAGCCTCTGAGCACACCCAGTGTGTGTAAGCATGAGAAGAGGTGGCTGCCCGACCACCCTGGCTTCCCCGCTGGCCATTGCTAAACTTGTTCAACAGGTCAGTGTCTTCGGCAGGACCTGCTTCAGTGCGACACCTGCAACACTTGCTGGCTGACCAGCGTTACTACACCCCCCCCCCCCCCAAAAAAAATCTCAAGAACTGAAACACCAGCAATCAAGGATTTCGTCCAAGGTAAAAGTACTTGATAATTTTACACCTTAAAACTGATTAATAACTAAACAAATTAATACAATTTTCTTTACAAATTTTGAATATGTCTCAAAAAATGGTGGAAAACATTACATCACAAGAATTTGAAATTTTTTTGCTTGTATGATGAATGAATTTTTTCAGGGCATATACAAACTTCCTGAGACATATCTAATATTCACTATTATGGTATTTAGCATAATAATTCATATCATATAACTGGAAAATTGGCTTAATAATGATAACAAAAATAAGGCATTAATGGGACTGACACAAGTTTTACAAGACAGTAAAATTTGGCCAATACCATAAAAGGGGACAAGGACTTACATAGTCCAGGAGAATTATCAGCTGAAGCTGAGAAGGAATTGGTTGTAGTAGAAAAGAAAATATGAGAGGCACATGTGGATCATGTGAATCCAGAACTTAACTGCGTTCTGATCATACTCCCCTCCAGACACTCCCCCACAGGGATTTTGATGCAGAGGGAAGATACTATATTGGAATGGATATTCCTACCAAGTAAACCGAGTAAGAAATTAAAAATTTATGTAGAAATAATCTCTGATTTGATTCTAAAAGGAAAATTAAGACTTTGTCAATTGACAGGAGTGGACCCAGCATTAATTGTAGTACCTTTAACTAATGAGGAAATTTCATCACTATGGAAAGATAATGAATACTGGCAAAGGGCCTGCGGTAACTTTTTGGGAGAGATTAATAACTGTTATCCAAAAGCAAGAGAATAGAATTCATAAAGAGAACTGACTGGGTCCTTCCTCACATTGAACAGCAAAAGCCAATCTCTGGAGTCCTCACATTCTATGCTGATACAATTAAATCAAGGAAAGCAGGATACAAATCAGGAGACTTAAGTAAAGTGGTTCAAAGCCCAAATAATTCTGTACAAAAGGCAGAACTGTATGCCATTCTTACGGTACTGATGGACTTCATGAAACCCCTTAATATAGTCGCTGACTCTCAATATGCAGAGAGAGTTGCTTTACATATTGAAGCTGAATTTATTCCTGATAATACAGAATTAACTTCACTATTTCTACAATTACAGGAAATTATCAGAAATAGGGAACATCATATATATATATATATATATGTGTGTGTGTGTGTGTGTGTGTGTCCGCTAGCATAGGTAATGATGAAATTGATCAGTTACTAAAAGGTAATGTGCTAGAAACTTCAGAATTACATAAGAAACACCCTGTAAATAACAAGGGGTTTTTTTTTTTTCTTTTTCTTTTTTCTTTTTTCGAGACAGGGTTTCTCTGTAGCTTTGCGCCTTTCCTGGAACTCATAGAGAACTGCCTGCCTCTGCCTCCCGAGTGCTGGGATTAAAGGCGGACACCACCACTGCCCGGCAATAACAAGGGTTTGAAGAAGGGTTTCTCCATCACTTGGCAACAAGCCAAGGAAATTGTAAAAAAAAAAAAAAAAAAAAAAAAAAAAAAGCCGGGTGGTGGTGGCAAGCCTTTAATCCCAGCACTCGGGAGGCAGAGCCAGGCGGATCTCTGTGAGTTTGAGGCCAGCCTGGTCTACTGAGCGAGATCCAGGAAAGGCGCAAAGCTACACAGTGAAACCCTGTCTCAGAAAAACAAAAACAAAAACAAACAAAAAGAAAGTCGGACTTGTTCCTTCTATAACCAAACTCCATTACCTGCAGGAAGCAATCCAAAAGGTATACGAAGAAATGAAATTCAGCAGCTGGATGTGTTTCATTTCACAGAATTTGGAAGACTAAAATATTTATACCATACCATTGACACCTACTCAAGATTTCAATGGCCAACTCCTATGAGTTCTGAAAAGGCTAATTCTGTGATTACACACCTATTAGAAGTTATGGCCATCATGGGAATACCTGTACAAACTAAGACTGACAATGCCCCAGCATATGTGTCAAATAAAATGAGACAGTTTGGGTTTTTTTTTTTTTTTTGCATATTACAATTACAATATAAAGCACATTACAGATATACCACACAATCCTACAGGCCAAGCAGTCATAGAAAGATTTAATCGAACTTTAAAAGGAGATCCTAAATAAACAGAAAAAGGTAACAATGACCCCTAGAAATAGACTGCATAATGCTCTATTAACCTTGAATTTTCTCAGTGCTGATGAGAAAGAGACAACAGCTGTGGAGAGACATTGGACAACAGAAAAAATTCCTGGGCTAAACCAACTGGTTTACTGCAAAGATGTGATGACCTCAGAATGGAAACCAAGATACGTCCTATGTTGGGAAAGAGGTTTTGCTTTTGTTTCTGCAGGAGAAGGAAAGCTATAGATACCAACAAAATTAATAAAAAATCAATTCGAACAGGAGAAACCCCTTGATGAGGAGAAGTAAAAGCTTATCCACTGATGTGACATCTCTACAAGTTATAAGAAAAACTCAACAAACAAAGGTTGGGGCAGGGTTCTGTTTTCTGTCTTTACAAGATAATTAGGAATACCCATCTTCCAGAAGTCATAAGGCCTTGTATACCCAGGTGTCTACAGCAGAAGAAAAAAATCTATTGGAACCAATCTACACATGGTAATATCTCACTGCCTAACATCTATATCTCTTTAACTCTAGAAAAGTTGTGATCCCAATTCAATTATAAATCAAGCTGGCTTTGGAGTTAGAATGTGGCTCTCTCCTTCTCTAAACCCTAACATACTGCTAAAAGAAAAATCAGGAGATTCTGTCTCATTTTGAAAGAGCTGCCTGGTGTGGAACAGAAGAAAAACAATAATTTAGAGACCATTGTCGTCTAGATTCCATTTCTCTCCACACTTGTCCTTGCTTTCAAAGATATCTTTCTCTATCCAGAATGAATCCAAAACTTTCCATCTTGATATCAAAAATGTTCAAGTTTTCCACAGTAAAAAATAAGTTTTTCCAATAGCAATCTCTGAAGTCTGCAGAAGGAAAATGGGGGTCCACAACGATGACTCTACCCAGTCCAGAACGATGCCATGATACCCATGAACATCACTCAATGATCAACCTTGGACTGAAAACTCTCCAGAACAGTTCCAAGATTAGATGGTCCATCACACTATACTTCTAGTCAGAATCTCAGACAACCTTACCCATTACTCTGAGACTAGCTACAGAATCTACAGTTAGTCCAACTGAGACCTATCTAAGCTTTCTTATAGGACCCCACAGAGATACTGTCACCCCCTAAACAGCAGGGAGCAATTCTAAGAAAATGACACCCTTGGGGCTGGAGAGGTGGCTCAGAGGTTAAGAGCACTGACTGTTCTTCCAGAGGTCCTGAGTTCAATTCCCAGCAACCACATGGTGGCTCACAACCATCTGTAATGAGATCTGGTGCCCTCTTCTGGCCTGCAGTCACTTATGCTGTATACATAATAAATAAATAAATCTTTAAAAAAAAAAAAAAAGAAAAGAAAATGACATCCTTTCTCCCAAAGGTTTCCCATGTTTCTCAGGGTTATAGATGATGGTTATAGGGTCGGGGGTAGAAGAAAATATTAGACTCAGTATTCTCATTAAGAAAAGAAAAAAGGGAATTGATAGGTATAGGATATTAAGGTAAATTATTGTATATACTAGTAAACTAATTTAGTAAAGTATCAGTCTTAGATAATTTGTACTGTTATGGATTCTTGTATATTGATACATACAGAACTATATTTATTGTAATGTACATATATTTCTACTATTTGAAACATTTTGTATATTGATACAAATGTAAAATTATATTTGCCATACTGTATGTACTTTCTACCTCTGTTTAGAATATTTTATACACTGATACATATTTAGGATTGTTGTCATATTGTATATTGCACTATACACTTCTACCTCTGTTTAAGATATTTCGTGGCCGGGCAGTGGTGGCACAGGCCTTTAATCTCAGCACTTGGGAGGCAGAAGCAGGCGGATTTTTTTGAGTTCGAGGACAGCCTGGTCTACAGAGCAAGCTCCAGGAAAGGCACAAAGCTACACAGAGAAACCCTGTCTCAAAAAACCAAAAAAGATATTTTGTGTATTGTCACAATTTTGAGGTCATTGTCCTTTTATTGTACATTTGTTTACAGACTGTTTACCTTGTTTATATGAAGCCTTAGTCATTAGGTTATTCAGGTAGGTAAGACTTACAGATTTATAGTCCCCCATGCTTTCATCTCTATAGTTACGTTAGTTAGGTTGTCCAGATTTACAGATGCATAGGTCAGATGGACAGGTAATCTTCAAACACTTCATAGACCTAGAGAATATGGCTTATTCTCTAAGTTACTTAAATATAACTTAGAATTCTGTTGACATAAGACACAATTGCTCCTGGCAGAACTGATCTGATCCCGAGAGAATGTTGGGCTTCTAGACATTCCCGTTTGGAAGTTTGTCTTCTTGGTACAAAATGGCCTGCTGGGCAAAGAACTGCCCTTGCCTCGAGTGCTGACAGTATGAATGATGTCCCTTCTGAATGAGTGGGACACAAGGAAAGGCGACTACTGAACTCTGCCAAGACAGGGTAAGATGGTCTTTCAAAATTCTTGCTTCTGAAAATGGTCTGTCAGATATTCTAGGCCTGTAGCCAATTTGGATGCCCCAATGGTGCTAGGAAACTTTAGGTAACTGTCCAGGCTGTCAGCTGTCTCTGTCTATTCTCGAAAGATTTCCGAAAGTTGCTTGCGTTCATCTCCCGTTTTCTGAGGTATTATTATATTCCTTCTCAGGTCTTTGATGAGATTGAAGACTAACAGTTATCGTTACAATCTTCTTGCTGGAACATATTAAATATTGGATTCAGGTTCTTCAGGATAGGACACCTTTTAGAATGATCTCTGTAATGTGCCATTTACCTATGCTCTAGACTTCTCTGGATTTTAGTATGTGTCTCTTGTTTGATGTTGCTCTTGCTGGCTGTAGTTCCATTTGTTTAT